TGTTAAATGTTTGAGTGGATTGTAAATGAAAAATAGTTCATTGTCAAAATACGACTTCAAGTAAAAGATCGCTACGATACTACCAGTCCTAACACTATCATCTCTGTTTTGCTTGTATATGAGTAAGTTAGTGAAAGCATTGCGTATGTGGTGGATCAGGAAGGCGAAATAAGAATTTAGGAATATTTATCCTGAAATCGATAGCAAAATAAACTGTTTGTATTCCTAAAACGAGCGAGAAGGCAGTATAATGAGGACTCAAACAAAGATAAAGTAGCAAGAATGGAATTTAATCAGATGATGATCGAACAACGGGCAAACTTAGTTACCTTAAGCTTTATGTTATCAAATCCTGTTACCATTTCCTTTATCATATTACTAAAAGTTAGATTAGTTGTATTTTGTACTTTTAAACTGTGCGCTTCGAATTTTTAATCCTCTATTGGCCTGGCGTATTTCGTATCAGAGCAATTTTCTTAATTTAGATGCAATGACAATTTAGGTTATTCAATTATGAAATATTTATGAAGTCTCACTGAAAAGGCGGTTTTCATTTTGAAAGCAACGAGACGCAATAAAACGACAGAAAATTAAAATTCATGTGAAGCGTCGAGCTGTCGGTTTCCGTGCATATTAAAACGGCGAACTGTAATATTGCTACGTTCATTCTCTTCTGTGCAATTTATATTTACGGTGTATTACCGCATAATTTTATAATTTTGTATTTCATTGTATTTCTCTTATTCATACAAAACTAATTTGCTTATGTAACACTTTTTATTGGTGGAAATTCCTCAAAAGATGTCTTTTCTACTCAAAACACAAGTTTTCGATTAATTGCAAAGTTTATTTCCAATCGATACGAAAGAAGAATCGAAACAATATGTAAACATAGTTCTGAACGTAGCTGTAGGACCATTAGGGTACCTGAAACTGTATTTGTAAAAAATACCGAATGATAATTGAGTGGAAAAAGGAAAAAAAAATGCAGCACGTTAAGATGAGAAACGGATGTTCAAGCAGCTAAGTTTCGAAACGCGACAGCGTTGCCGATTCTAAAAACCGTCGGTACAGAGTAAATCTGTGAAATTTACCAGCTTTGATGAACACCCGGTGCTTCGACGAACTCAAACGGGAATTTCCTTACGAGAAGTTCTTCGCATCCGGACCTATGTATTTCTTTTCCACTTCTTCTTGGAAATAGAAGGTAAAAGTAACGACTTTAATTTGTAGCACCGTTTTAGCCACCGATAAGGAAATCAAGATACTGTAACTAATTTTCAGTCTGTAGCCGTTCCCGTAGATACTTAAATTATTTTTGCAGCACCCGAAAGCTCTCTCCGATTGGATTTTAGTTGCTCAATGTAATTTAAAACTAGGATAGAAACCGGCAAGGTTGAAAATTGCTATCGTTTCCGTGTGCCGTAATTTTGTTTTAGCTTTTTCGCCAGTGGCCGATCCGCATAACTCTGGAATAGACCGCTTGTCTCCAGCTGACTTGCCTTCGGCTTACGAGACTATTCTAACACCACCCGACTTGACCAGGAGCAGTATTTTTATCTTCTGGTGGCGCCTGAGACTACCATACCGTTCCATCGACTACTGAAGTTTGCACCGTTAGTAAAATGAATTGATGTATCGATAATTGCCAATTCTTTATGTATTTGTCTGATTAAACTTAATTAATTAATTCTGGAACTAATTGGACCGTTTAATTTAAAGCAACCGGTTTACACGGTCTACCGAAGTTCATCGTAATGTGTGACTTACGAAGGTAATCGGAGTCTTAAAGTTTCATGCTAAATGGTGGATTTCATTTCGAGTTTGATAAATAGGCCAGTAAATGACCGTTTGGGCGTGTAATTTTTCGCGCCTCGACACTGCTTGAAAATTTGGATTTAGTTTCTTCTTACCCTCTACTTCAAAGGTGAACTTGACCCCAGGGTTGCTTTTACTTGGGAGGTGAATGCCACCCCTTCTCGGAGGGGAAAAAAATACCGTCAAAATAAGTCCGGAAATTGATAAATTGAGTAATTCTAAGAAACTTTTGTTCTATAGAGTTTTTTCACTAAGTCAATAGCGAGGTCAATAGTATTCGAGTTATTTGCGAGTGAAAATGTTCATTTCTCAACAAAAAAAAACACGTTTTCAGACGATTTTTCCCAAATAACTCTAAAAGTAAGTATTGTATCGAAAAAAGTATTCTTAGCAAAAATATAGCTTATAAAAAAACAAACAAAATGGTCTGAAATGAAGTCTGTAGACCCAGTAGAAGCAAAGTTGTAGCTCATGAAAGGATAAGTTCTCATTCGTTAAATTCCAAATCAAGTACTTCAACGTGAAATAACCAAAAAATGAAGCACTTTTCGGGGAAAACTTTTGAATACTTTTTTAAAGTGTTTAAAAAAACCTTTCTTTTTGTTTTCAAGAAAAGTTCCTAGCATCAAAACTAAGTGCGTTACGCTCAAAATAAAGTTGGTCCTTTTTTTTTTGGTTAAAAAAATCGAGGAAATTACCCTCTAATTAGAGATCTAGGACGTATATTTCAAACAATAAGGGTTGTTTTTCGAATTGAAATCGAGATTGAAATAAAATAAATTCGTAAAATTACTGTATATATAGTAGGTATCAATGAAGAAAAAAATTACCTACTGCAACTATTCGAATTTCTTCGCAAGGGTTGGTTTTTATAAGGGTAGAAATTATGTGATAAAAAATAAAAATAGCAAAAAAATCTAAATTGAATGTTACTGTATAATTAAATAATCCCAAATTGCTTGGATTTACAATTGTATGATTAATAGGGGTAGTTTCCACCTCTAAAACATAAACAGCAACCAACGGCACAAGTCCAATTTTGAAGTGGAGGGTAAGAATAACCTACATCCAAATTTCCATGCAAATCAGTGGAGTCAAAGTATTCTATGACATTGTTTTAATTATAACTATTCTAGAGGGTAGATTTAGGGGTTAAACTGTGATAAAATGTTAAGTTATGTTGTTTAGTGTTAATTAATATTTATTCACTCCTTTATAAGATGATTTGAATCAATTACCCGCTTTAATTTACAATTATACGATTTTTTTCTAATAGGAGTAGTTTTTTCCCCAAAAAAGCTCAACTCAAAACTTCAACTTTGAAGTGGAGGGTAAATAGAACCTAAATCCAAATTTTCATGCGATCCGGTGGAGACGCGGAAAATTATACGGTATCGCCGTATTCCACGTTCATTTACTGGTCTAAAATCAAAAATGTTGGCGTTAGACGCATGATCGGATCATAGTTTTAAATTCAAGCTAATGGTGCGAATCAACCTAAATTAAATGAATGAAACATTTTTTATGGTACAGAAATATCGTGGGGGATTAAGGTTATGACTTACTCACCCTAAGAAGAACTTATATACACTGTTGTGTATACAACGTTATTTCGGTCTTACACCAAAAATTATTACAGAAGACCCTGTATATGACAATATTTCATTTTATTAAGTGAAAATCTGATAGATTATTTACGAAACAAGCACCGAGTGGTTTAGTGTAATTGAATTTGTGTCTCAGTGTTGTTTTTCCTTTTCCAAATTGTTTATTTAGATTTGTGTATTTAATTGTAAAACGTGAAATTGCGTGTTAAAATGTAGGAACATCTGTTGTTTATGGTAAGGAGTTTTTTCAGACTAAATTTAATTAACGCACGTGTTCTCATCGCCGTTAGAAGATGCAGGTGTTCTACCAAGAGTTATTTCGGCGTCACTGGAGACGCGGTCCTTCGAAGCTGACTTTATGAAGTCTAATTATTGTGATTGGCTGTGTTATTAATAATTGTGAAGAAGGAGATTATTATATAGTGGAAGTGGTGTTCCCTTAAATACTGGAGACAACGTAAACACGAGGCTGTTGCTAGCTGTTTCCGCGACGGTGAAAGAGAGTGTAAATTTGTTTATGCTAAATCTGAGTCGTTTTGCCCTAGTTGTTTTGTTGAAGACGTAGTTCGTCGGTTTTGAAATAAAGCGTGCAGAAGAAGTTAAGCAATCTTAAGAAAGTATTTAAGATATTATCAAGTGAGGTAGTAAAAATAGCTATTAAAATGGAAAAAAAACACGAAAGACATAAAGAAAATTATTACAAAAGTAAATAATACAAGGTCAAGTAATGATAACTACCGTCAAATCAAATGTTTTCGATCTTATCTACCGTTAAATTAAAAAGTGATAAGTAGGTATAGGGTATACGACGTATTGTGTTGACCAATAAACGCTTGCCGTTTAAAAATACGCAATACAAAATAGTTAAAGTGTACACATTGCAGTTTTATTCTGAAACGGCATCAACACAAAAGTCTTCAGAGGGTTTAAAATGTACACAATACAACAAGCGACAATACTTCCAAATATTTAAAGTGTGCACAGTGTAATGCAACATATCAGCACATACACAAGGCATCCGAGGAATTTTACAACGAACTACAAAGCAAAGTTAAGTGGTGAAAAGTGTACTCACAATACTTTCAAATGTTTAAAATGTGCACAGTGTGCTTTTGACTCACCTCTTAACTCACAAACCTTCAAGGATTTAAAATGTATACCTGCGTGTATTATCGATATATATACACTGTGTCCAAGATAAGGATGTCTCATGGGGATCTCGGAAACCGTAGAAGATACTATGATGGTAAAATTCGAGAACAGATGCACTAAACTGATTAAGTAGGAAGGAATTAGTATTACAATTGATGAAAGGATTGAGAAAAAAAAGCAAAAACGCCACTTTAAATTGCAATACTAAAACACTAAACTAACACAATCCTTTACAGAACCTGAAATTTGCCTATGTTGTTAATTCGCCGTGGTTTGTTAATCGCCCGCGATTCACTTCTTAAGACTCCCATAGAAGATCAGAGACTTTGATAGTAGAACAACGTTAAAACCGTATCAATTATTTTCCTTCTAAATGATTTTTTACTTGTAAAGCTGCGTATTATAGAAAATTAAAAATCTTACTTGTATTCGCGCCTCGTTTAATTTGGTACTTCTCGCTAATTCTTCTCGACAGTAAATATCGGGATAGTGGCTCTTCGCGAATGCTGCCTCCAATTCGGCTAATTGTTCTTGCGTAAACGTGGTCCTATGTCTTCGTCTGGCCGGCGTGGGGCACGATGCCGTCGTTGGTGTGTGACCTGCATGTTGTGGACCTCCCGGAGGAGTTACAGTACCTAAACTACCGCTACTACCCGAAGTGACCGGTTCCGGTTTTAACTTCTTAAACGCTCCATCTGTAAACAAAAGGGCACAGTATCAGTATTATGTATGTGCATTATTGAGTGCACGTTTCGTATAATTGTGACACGTGCGACACTTACTTGTAATTCATAGGGGGTTGAGTGCGCACTTTAAATATCTGGGGGATGAAAATTGTGGAAGAGGCAAAAATCGATGCATTTTTAAACGATTAAGTTACTGCTAAAGCACAAATTTTGAATTAGCATAAAGTAGGTAAACGTATCCGGGTTGAGTAACAACATTCAGTCGAGAGTAATAAGATTGTGTGATATTCTTTGTGGCGCGCGCCGGTGTCAGTAATTGTAATTAGGTTGGTACTAACTGCATTAATAAACAGTAATGAATTCAATAAGGTTTAGTTGCCGACGACGCCGTTTGCTATCGTTTGCCGCCGTTTGTCGCCACAGTCACCTGTGACCCAGGGCATTTACTTAATTTACAAACATTTGCGTTTGTTACATATTCTGATTTGGTAATTAGTCCAACTCTGTCCGTGACAAATTTATTTCACCGCGAATTTTCGATCCATGAGTTGAGTAATACCACATTTGCACTAAATGCACATAGGAATGTGGAGTACTTTAAAATTACCATCAAATAAATAGAACCTTTTATTTCTATTTGGGATTATCTTGAAAATGAAATTGATACTCTGCAACGTTTTTACCTCTTCGTGGTTAAATCCGATACGCATCTATCCTTACTTCATACCTATTTAGTAGGTATGTGAGTTGTACCTAAAGTAGCAGAAACTACTTTCGCTGTTTCAAATACGGAAACGTAGGGGGTTATTTTTTTAAAAATAATTTCCAGATCTAACTGCAAATTTACATGTCTATCTGTGGAATCAAACGGGTTGCAGATCTCTCTGGAAGTTAATAGATATCTGGGAATCTAATAATGTTTTTCAAGAAGTGTACACCTCTTTTTGGGAATTTATAAGTCTAAAGTCTATCAACAAATTTACCGACTTCAGTCATTCCGCCGTCAATTTTTAAACCCGCAATTGGTACATGTGGTTGAAATAAGTATAAAAACAAACTTAATATAGGAAATATACAAAAAAATGCTGAGAATTTCAAGCACATTTAGTTTTCCTCAAAGTAGAACGCAATATTCAAAAGCGAGATTGCTAATGGCACCTTTGCGAAGCTCCTAGACAAGACATAAGGATCTGCAAAGAGTACGTAAACTGGAACACCCTAGAAGGCGTTAAAATGACTTTTCTGAGACCACTATACCGCTTTCTAGAACCTCAAGAGGTTTTAGGGACACCTTAGGTTCGAGAGTCGCTTGTGTAGTTTCCACAGAAAAGTGCGTCTTAGCGCCCAAATTTGATATATAAAATAAGTCCCTTGAACGTTTTAAAAACGACCTAGAAGCTTCTTAAAGAAAAGGGTGTTAATTAATTAAATAGGTAGGGATTCATCTGGAGATATTTTTTATAGCATTCGGTTTGGGGCTACGGGAGCGTTAATCGTATTTCTTTTAATATAATTTTTTTGGGAGATTAACTGTGTCATTCGAATTTGTAATGTAAAAATTGTTCTAAACGCCCGCATTTGAAAAGAACATTAATGAAAGATAGGGTGTGTACATTTGATTAGTGGAAGTTTATCCTTTGGTATTAGTGGAAAGAGTCCAGAAACAACCTGTTAACAACAAATTGCCGTAGAAAGAAAATCCTGCTTGTCATCCGAACAAAATTTTGTCCGATTCCCCAGATAATCTACATAAGAGAAAGTTGCCGTCGCTAGACGAGCTTTAGCTGCAAGTTCCATTATTAATTTTCGAAATACTGTCGGTACGAGGAGCTCCCAGCTCTACTTTGTATAAACACCATCGCTTGCGAAAGGACATTTTTGAGATACAGGTATTTCTTTAAAATGATGGGTTGTTTACCTGTAAGGAAAATTGTTGTAAACTCTGTTTGAAAAATTTGAACTTGTGCATTCTTAAAGGTACCACTTATTGGTAAATTGAAGCCGTTTGTATTGCATGAATTTTATCATTTATAAACCCATTTGAACTTGATTTCATAGCTGAAAACTTGTAAAGGAAATGTAAATTGGATTTATTTCATGATTGGTTTTTTTTTCAATATATTCAAAGCCTTATGGGAATTTTGTGTTTCATTTTCGATTGCTAGAGAAAGCGTTTAGATACAATGTTTGCCAGATGCACTCTCCCGGCAAAAAAGCAGTTGGACGAAATTTATTTGTAATAGTGATTGTTTTCTCTGTTACACACTTTTAAATATTTCGTTTAATATCTAGATGTATGTACATAATATTATCTAAACAAAATATATAAGTTAAATATGTTTGATTGCGGACCACTGCTATCGCAGCCGGTTTTATTTAACGAGCTCCGATTGGTGCATCATTTTTAATGCGCAGACTGTATTTCATTTTCTTTTCGTTGAAACTAAAAATTGGCAACGTTTAGCAGTCTTCGTGTCAACTTTTGTAAAAAATTCAATGGTTTTATTTAACATTTTTAAGTATTATTTCTGCCGATTAATCGAAGTGGTCATTTATGTTAATTTATCTGTTACCTATTCAATTAATCAACTTAGCTATATTTTTCCAACTTTTCAATTTTTTACTTACTCCTCTTACTCCTCTGGTATATTTTTTGGTGGACCTTGTAACGGGAGCTCGGCTTGGAGAGGAGTCTACATTTTTTGCCAAAAGGTTCGCGTCAACAATTTCGTTGTGAAACGTGAGTAGTTTTTCGATGTTCCAGTTATAATAAATAACAAATGAGCTGTTAACTTATGAAGAAAGAGCAATCGTTTAATCGCGGAGGTAATACAGATTCGATTTTGAGCGAAGATACGAAAAATGACTGCTCTCCGCGAATTGCATTTATTAAGGTATACGGTCAATATTTCGAAGTGCATATCTAAAAAATTAAATTAAATTAAGTTTTCTATTTTTGATGTATATTTTAACGAAACTTATCTGGGAAAGATTTCTTTTATTTTTGAATTAAGTAATTGGTTTGTATATTTATTGTCGTATCAGACTTTCAGTTGGAAGACTTATTCCCATTTAAGGTTACCACTTAGCTGTCAGAGCCAACAAACAACGCTATTTTATCATTTTCATGGGTAACTTGTAGCGATTCTTTATGAATAGAAAACGGAATTAACCGGCTAGTCAGAGAAGACAGAGAGTTAGGTCTCCCAGTGAAACAATCCTGAGCGAATGCAAACCAAATCGATAATGCAATAAAACATCTTGAACAAGTAATAAAATGGACAAAAGGTCCACAAGCGGAATACTCGCTACAATAAATACATGCAACAATACAACAAGAGCATAAACATACACAAAAAACGTATGCTTAAATTTATGTTGGATGACCAACGCATATAAAGTCATTATCGACGAAGGAACATTTTGCATAAAGAATAGTAATACCGTCATTTTACATAAATAATGTTACCACATTTAGGCTTCTTCAAAGGGAGACTCCAACTTCGGCAACTCGAAGGAGGTAATATTGCGGTCCCGGGCGATGCATAATGATTCACCAACTGCCCAATTTGACGTGTCTTAATAGATCAAGCTAATAGATTGTCTAATACTCAAGTGATAACGATAACTGTTTCGGTTAAGATAAAACATCCGGGAATGGAACTAGAATGGGAAAATCAAACATATGCTGATACGATTAACCTTGCTGATTCCAGTAGCTGGGTTTCGAATAAATGCAATAGAGAATATATGATACAATAATCAACTACAACTTTGCCAGGAACATGTGATATAAAATGACCTAAAACGGCAATATGAATAATATCCTTACCTAGATTAAGGATAGCAAATTCCATTCACGTAAATACGTTTAGATAATTAATTTTGGCAATTTTAACTTGATGTCTCTGGAATTTCATGAGATTTCCACATCTTTCGTAAAGTAAGTACTTGTCATTGCAACGACAAAAGCAAAAGTGATATTTTCCATATTTTCCTCATATGATACCAACTCAATATTCAAATATCTATGTACCGCATTCAGCCAGACACTCCCTGCGGTTACATTCAACGCAGAAAATGCTAAATGGTTACAAAAGGTCCTGTGAAGATTTTATTTTTCCGACTTGTTTGAATAGTAAAGAGAGAGAAAACAACAAGTTTGTCAATGCGAGTGTGACAAACGTCGAGAGAAATTACTGTGGTCAAAAATCAACAAAAATGCCCGACTCTTTACGTTTTTCTAAAATAACTCGCCAACGGCAATGCTCGGGTAATATTATGTTGTATTCAAAATGGTAGAGTGTAAAATACATTTTATTTGACATTTGATTTGTTCTGGCATTTATAGTTTAGGAGAAACATCCATTTAAAGTTTTGTGTTTTTATCAAATAATGCCATCTGTAAGAAAATGAAAAACCTAGAGAAGATATGACGTTTATGAGGTGTTTAGAGCTAAACTGTTTGTATACATACGACCAGATAGCTCCCAACAAAATAGGTGTATTTCAGTATTTGTTTTTCCTTTTAAAAACTTGCGTAATTTTCGTTTTAATTTTATCGCTTTTGTAAATTTGTTCAATTTACATAAGGTGCTAGAAGGTGTTCTAAGTAGTACACAATTGGTGGAATGTTGCGTGAGTTATAAAAGGTTATCTTGTCGTTTGCGATAAAAACATTCGTTATGGCGTTACGTAAGGAGAAATTTAATTAGTTTCAAGATAAGGACATGTTATCGTTGATAAGAAAACAACAGTTGCGCAGTTTATTTCGAAACTGCTTATTCAAATTTGGTTCCGATTGGCTGTTTGTTTACGAAATCTAAAAGAACGGGATTATTTTATGGTGGAAGTGGTGAATCCTTTAAATACGGAAGACAATGTATAAACGGGGTTTTTTGTTTGGTGAACGTTGGAGTGAGTGATTTTGTTACGGGGTTATTTTGGGCAGTCGGTTCTATTTGTGTTGGAAACATAATTAATCGTGATTATAATAAAGTTGTGTAGAAGAAGTAAGGAATCGTATTGAGAGATTTAAGTTACGACATCACAACTATGTGAACGTGAACTATGTTGGTGTACGTGGTGGGCCAAAATGGAAAGGCTTTAAAGAAAGTTTTGTCCCTTAGCGGAAAAAGGAGTAGTTCCAGTGAGAGTAAACCATGCAGTTGTTGCTTAGTGAAGCCTTTCGACAAGGTTTGTGATTCATGAAAAATAAAAGCCACCAAATTTTATCATCTAATACAAGCCAGTTTTCTTGTCATTAAGTTCCTGAAGCCGTTAGCGTGTGTTTGTGTCAGTTCTAAGTGCGTCTGAATATCCCAAAATTCTGAACGATCAGATTATTTTTCAATTAGTAAAATCTGTAAGTAATTAAAATTTCTCCTCTGTCGGACGCTTGAGTGCGTGGTATGTGTAAAAACAGGCTCTAAGTTCCAAGTCAATAACCTAAATCATATTTCCTCTCCAACATGCTGATCATTATTTAGATCAATTGGCATATACAGGTTGATTCAAATTCGAGGGCAACGTTGCGTATTTTGATGCTTAACAAAATGCCGTTTTGAAACTAAAAAAATATCGACTACTTTCGGAGAAACAGAAATTTTGCAAAATCGTTTTTATTTTTGACCGAAGTTATTTAAAATGATATTTCAAAATAAATGACACATTATTATGGCCACTTTTTTCCTCTACAAGATGCTAGTTTTAAATCTCCGAAAGTAGTCGGAATTTTTTCAGTTTCTAAACGGCATTTTGTTAAGCATCAAAATACGCAACTTTGCCAAATTTAAACTACCTACCTATCTCTTAGTTTCCGAGATCCCCATGGTGGCCCTCGAATTTGAATTAACCTGTATAGTGCGTATAGATACACTAACTTTCGATCTTTCGTGCGCCTTTTGTACATAGCTCGAGAGGTCAATCAAAGGATGTCGCAGAGTTTTCAGGTTGTGGGCATTAGATGCGTACTATTGGGTCACGCCTGCATCGCTTAAACTGAAAGCTACCAATCACGTATACTTTTACCAGACGATGCCATATTCGTTATTTACACCAATTTCGTTGAGGAAACCGTCGAAACGCATTATTTCAATATCCAAGAAGCAACTTTCATGCATTTTTTGTATTTGTATTTCCAATACCTAGCCTAGTTTATTGATCTGACAAATTGCTCGTAAATCTATCGGTGTGGTAGGTACATAACAGAATTTCAAAATTATCAACTGAATCTTTCGTAAAAATGATAGCGAATATGCATATAAATGCAGTGTGAAATAATTGCTAATCTTACTGTCAAACCTCACATACCTACACAAAAGTTGGATTTATTAAAATCCGATATCATCTACCTAAATAAACACACATTCCCCTAAATTCAAACGAATACCGAATTTAAATGAAAATCTGGGCTTTAAGTTTACCTACAATAAAAGTGTGTTGAAAATCAATCAATGTAACGCAATGCTAATTAAAAATGAATATAAATTGTACTAAATAAGTTAATACCTGATATATTTATGGTTCGTCGTCACCTTTACAATAGTAACACTACAAACCCCATACACAATTCACGACAAAGTGGAATCTAAGGGGGCGACCTTTTGAGTACATCTGGGACTATAATGACTGCTCATGGTGTCCATAATGAAGTGTCAATTTACTATACTTAGTCCGCAGCATATGGATCTACAATAAAGGAGAAGAAGACAACCGCACATAGAGGGATTACAAACCCCGGTTAACACTCAATTTGACATATTGTACTTGCGCTAAGCACACATGTTCATATTGAAATTAGGATTTCGCTTTATACGCATTGTGAAGTAGGACGAGCGAAATCACTGTAATTTTATAAGTGTATAATAGGTTGCATTTTGTTTTTTTTTTCGTCACAAAATGTTACGGAAAACTACAAGAACAATTAGTCCCACAAAAAGGTGTTAATCGATTATAATTTATTTGAAACCAAAGGTGTAAAATCTAGCAAATGGATAAAAAATTACCGGTTCTAATAAGAGTAAATAGTGTATTATAAATTTCTTGTCCTGTTTTGCAGGAATAAGTTGGCGAATAAGGAACAAGATAGGATGTGTAGGTAATGAAACGACAGGATTTTAGCATTGGAATAGTAGGTATATTGAAAGAAAAGTGTTACAATGTGACTATAATACGATTATCTTGTGGCACGAGGGGCGTAGCGAAGCGGAGCCACGAGTGTCCACAAGATAGGAGTAGGTATTACAATAAAGCATTGTAACACGTGTTTTTCATACTATTTTTTCTATTTCGAGTGAAAATAAAAAATGTTGTTTGAAAATTTAATTCAAAATACGTATGGAGAAAATTAAAGTTCCTAGATTGGCAGCAATGAAAAGTTGGTAACAAATGTCAATTCAAATTGAAAATTTAAATCTGTAGTTTGGATTTTGTAGTTATTTTATTAAAATGAATTCAGATTCGGAGTTCTCTTCTACGTCCCCAGAATTGCGTGATATTGCAAACTCTGCAGTAGAAAAATTATTACCTACAAAATCAAGGCCGAAGTACGAGAAGGAATACAAAACTTCAATGATTGGTGTGAGGCAAATAGGGTAGTAAATATTACCGAAAACTGTTTATTGGCATATTTTAATAATATGAGTAACAACAAACAGTCCTCCACAATGTGGTCCAATTACGCAAACTATTGTTGTGGGTATGTTTTCGTTGTAGAGAAAAGACCCGGTGTCGCCTGAAGTGATGAGTGTACCGTACTCGACCGCAATTGGTAGATTCAGGAAAAGTCGCGGATACTGTCGATACGGTACTTACTTAACAGTGTGCTAGGGTTTTGTTAAGTTTTTATTCAATGGTTTTGTTAATTCTAATCTAAAATTTTCGCGCATGCCGCATGTTACGACGCTATTATTTGCGACACGAGCGAGTTTGCGAGCGAGTGGAGCAAGTGATTGTGGATAATAAGGGTTATTTGTGTTTTACATATGGCGTTATACGGTTGTCATTTCCAATGTTTCTGATAGTTGCATGGATTGTGAAATCTGTGAATTTTTTGTTAAGAAATGTGTAAGAAATAAAAACGCTGAAAGAATACCAAAATCAAGACAATACTACGTTATTCAGAGATAGGTACCCTGTGAAAATAACCATTTTTGTGAAACCACAAACAGAATCAATGTAACTACGTTTGTTTTTGAGGTATAGGGTGAAAACGAACAGTGTTCCTTTTTGGTATATCATCATAATTATCTTACTACTTGTGTAAGATTAAAAAAAAGATAAAACCCGCTTATTTTAGATATTTTTACGTAGAATCCAGTGACGTAGGTAAAAAAGACCCTAAGTGGGTATTTTGAAATGCAACATATTCGTATATTTTAACTTCAATCTTATTCATTATTTTTCCTGATTGTATTGATGTATCACAATTTATATATTTTCTTAATTTTACCCATGAAAATCAATAAAATCTTGTTTTTTTTACTGTTCTTAAATAGTAGGCCATGGATTAATGAAGATTTTGTTTTGTTTGTTGTATCCGAGGTTGCTTCCATAGTTACTGAGGCAGCTGATACCAATCAATAAAAATAAACTACCTTCGAAACATGTTTGCCAATTCCTTAAGTAAAAAACATTAAAAACTTAAAGAGTCCAATTTAAACTGTGTGCAATTCTTTTCGATCACCCGATATTATCTTCTTCAACCAAAGCCATTTTATTTACAAATACGATGATTTTTATAAGCAAGCGTCAAGTGACATTTCCTTGGCAATTATGGAATTATGAATAATGAACCCACCTAATTAGAAATGTATTCGGGTACACCGTCAATATGACTTCATTTTATTTCCCTTTATTTTCAAATTATACAATACTATTAAAAACTCCCCTAGGAGTTAATGAGAAATGTTAACTTTTTCGCTGAATCCAGTAAACGCAAGGATTGCTGTGTGCAATGGAATGCGGTCAACTACACCGCCCACAAAACACCTGCCCAGCTAGCTCAAGCAAATTAAAATTCGAACTTCTATAATCTCTCCTCGTACACTTCCAGCATCTGCTACAAAGAAAAATCTCAATATTAACCTAAATTAATGTTTTGGGAGACTCAGTATCATCGATCAACTTCCGAGAATTGCTAAGAATTAACTACACAAAAAAATCTGATATGAAAACTCTATTCGGATCACACAAGGGATTCGAATAAACACACAATTAATTGATTGACAATGACAAAATCATAAAAATATATTCCGAAACAACTGAAATGAAATATTAAAACAAAATTCATGAAAAAAGAAACGCTTACAAAGCTTGTTTTTACAAGTTACCCCGCACTTAGGCGGTCGATAGTTAAAAAAAATTCGTTAAGTAGCTTGTGAGCAAGTTTGTTTTTTCGGTTTGAATAGCCCTTATGGACATTTCATGCCTTAACGAGAATACAAACATGAAATATTTTTTAATTTCTGACCGAATGGCACCAATAGTAAGTCTATAAGTGTTATAGTTCCGGATCTTTTGTGACTCAGACAGACAGACAGTGCACTTTTATTTTTTTTAAGTGAAAGTGCACTAAAAATATTAGAAATTTTAAATTACTGAATTACTTACTATTTTTACGCTTAGACTTGATAACTCCAGTTTCGCAGGAACGCGCCAAATGTTCTTACTCACGCCGAAATAATGCGCAATAGTTCGAATCCCCTACGACCTTGTTATCAGCACCAGATGTGCATTTTCTTTGAAATTAATTAACTTTCACCTTATACTAAAAGGTCTTATTATAAACCTCTTATAAAATACGCAATTGGAGCACAAGTGTATTACATTAAGCATATTACACAATTACAAACAATTCTAAAGGGAACAACAAATACGTAAATTCAAATTCAAACAAAAGCACCTCTGTGGCTATAGCAGATAATCCCCCGATTTACACTTAATAAATTGAAATATTCTTATATACAGGATGTCCCGTCATTATTTGTGGTGTTTACACCGAAATAACGTTTTCGTGACGTTGATATTTTCAAAATGTATGATGTTTTCATTATGCTTTTTTGATATGTTGTCTTAATAAATAATTCAATGTATTATGGTCATTCTTCAAACGATGTGGGCGCTTCTAAAATGACCCCAACGCGTTGTGGTCATAAGTTAACGGATATAACACGCAAAAATAAATATATATATATAAATAATAAATTAAATAATTTCGGTCTTTGGTCATTTAGCTTCGGCCATAATGCGTTGTGTGCGTTATTTTCGCTCAATGAGCGTTTTCGATATTTGTGCGTAACATATACATTAAAAGAAAACTCTCAAAGAAGGTTCTGTTATGTGGGGAAGGGAAAGTTCAAGTGATATGATTTATCCGGGGATTTATTTACATTTCGTACATACCTATTATCTGTTCACCCAACAGATGTAGTTAAGCTCCTCCCAAAAAAATCCCGGCAAATTTAAATGAACATTTTTAATTGGCCGAATTTTCAAAGCCTGTATCACGCACAACTATTTGCTGGCAATTGTAATTGCCGTATCTGAATTGACATCCTTAACGTCAAACCTGTCATTTATATTTTGTATTTACCTTGCCGCAATTTCTCATTTATACGAACAAAATAGCGTTTTTGAAGAGCTATCAAAAAGTAGTGAGCTGATTATAGAGTAACTTAAAACTTCTGTGGGACTTGATGAATACAGCGGGAGCGAGAGCGGGAGCTTATTTTTCTCCGCCTAAAAAATTACCTGCCAACATTCTAATCAAGAGTAATATCCCAAGTGCATAAAAATAGCCGATTACACTTTGACGTTTTCGTCAAATGTTTTGCTTAGAAGTACGTCGAGTCAATTTGACACGTAAAGAAATCCCGAGTGCGTAGTCCTTAGCAAAACAATTTGCCAAAAAACGGCAAAATTTAATCAGGCTATATTTTAACACGCGGGATATTCGGCATGATTATTTCTTGAATAAATATTCTCAGCGGTTTCAATATTTCCGAAAGAATTTGCACCAAAACTGGATATCGGGCAAGAGATAAGTGCATTCGAAATTAGCACATTAGGTAGACTTGTTCGGACTGACAGTTTCGTATCTTAGCAACAGCTAGTTTGGATTTGTCTAAGCATCTTTGATATTTGAAACTAATACAATCAGAAGCGGTAAAATTTTGACACATTTTTAACCGCGGTAAAATTTTGAGTTTTGACGTTTGTAAATTAATCGTTGAAATATGGACAGTACCTAACCATAGCAATTCTAATGCTTTTACTACATGAAGGAAATAATGAAGAACATTTGTTTTGGTTCAGTATTTGTGACATTTGTAAATGTCTATAATGACTTCTGTCATCGCTGACAGATTGACATTAATCAAAAGTTTTATAGACAAATTGAAATTTTATATTAAAATACGATTCGGGTACAATTTAATACAAAACTCGTCAGTAATAGTATATTATTATACGAGCATGTTATGATGCTTATTATTCACGAGGTTGACGTTTGCGACGCGAGCGAGCTTGCGAGCGAGTGGAGCAAGTAAACCGAGTGAATAAGAGCCATAACATGCGAGTGTAATACTATACTTTATCTACGACTATTACTTCAATTAGATTAATATTTTATTAGCATTTACATTACAATAAATACTCGCAAAAATAACTAAAATGAAAACAAAGTAAGCAGGATTTAATTCTATAAAGGAAAGATTTCTTATTTAACGTCGAATTATGGCGGAGTAAGTTCTGTGGTAGATCTTGAAAAATTAACTGTCATAGTACCGTAATTAACAAATGTTATAGAATTTGGTTGCAAGTTGGTTTGAGCATGGGTCTCAAAATGTGCATTTGCATTTAATACGTTAGTACTACAAGATGTCTTGATGATGATGCTGCAGGTTGTGGAGCGATATTGGAAGTAGAAATCACAGAGCTTGAAATTTTTGTAGCGGTATCCAACTTATTTGTCAAGGAAGTATCAACGTATCCTTCGGCTACGGCTGTCGATTTCCAGCCACCGTGTCGTTTCAAAGCCATGATGTCTCCACCAGCATCAATTAGGATTGTTGCGGATGTTCTTCGGAAATAGTGACCGGTGTATAAATCCGTGTTTGTAATTCTCAAAAAGGTAGCAATATCTTTGGGCATTTTCGCAAATTTGTTAATTCCAATTTTTTGGCTTGTGTATTTTCCCTTTTGGAAATTTAAAAAAAAGAAGGGGGATTGTACGGTAGGTGGGCGCAATTTCGCATATTTCTTGTATATATCAAAGAATTGACCCGTAACTGTAAACGTTCGGACAATTTTAGTTTTAGTTTTAGGTATTGTGATAATAACTCCCCCTTCAAAATCTTTAATATCCTCGACTTTCATGTCACTTAACTCACAGGTTCGACATGCACCCATTAAACCCATTATCAATGCAACCTAAAAATACGAAAGATTAAACTAAGAACCGTACTAAGAAACGTCAGAAACCTTTGTTGCAAGATATACTTCGTCAGGTGCATTATTAAAAAATGCATTTATCTCCTCGGGGCTGAAGATTTTAGATTTCTTCTTAAGATGTCCATCTGATTTACGTTTAAGGAAAGTACGTAGTTTGGGATATTTATCAATTTCCACTCCATCATCAAGATTTAATGTAGTTCGTAACATCGAATAGAATGTCCACAGTGAAGAGGAAGAATACTTTTTAGATAACTCTTAGAAGTATACAAGAAGAACATTTTCAGATAAAGAGGATACCTTTTTTTGACGTCTCCATTCCATAAACTTTCCATATACGTGTTCGTACTTCGTTCGAGACTTTTCAGGCAATAAATTTGAACACACTTCTGCCTGGTGCATAACCTCAGGAGGTGTACCCACGGCCACGAGTTCATTATTTTCGTTCTCACTATCGAGGTCCATTCCTAACTTATGAATAAGCTAACGGAAAAATACTAGCGAGAATGATTGTCACGATAATTAACATTTTCATGTTTTGTTTTCAAGGAGCGCGCTATTTTGGAACCATTGAGTTATGAATATTATTCAATGGATTGCAACCAATCATAGCCCAAGTTTGATTCCATAACTGCATAGCAATTAATTATGGCTAGCATTATTTATAGAAATAGAGGCATATTATAAGCGCATAATTTAATGGTCGTAGATAAAATGACATTACTTGCCTCGCACTTCAATATGTCCTTGCCAGTAATATGTCATTTTCCTGACTTTTATGTAAATAACTTTTATTCACAATAGTGGTGTGAAATTACACGTTTTTTTCGGTATCGACTTCTTCCCTTTACTGATATTTTGAGTATTATGACATTCAATATCTCTTTTTATTGACATATCACACCATACGATAAAGCACGCCACAACTTGTGACTTAAGCAAATATTCGCTGGTATGGAATATTCTTGGAGAACGGGATGTGAATCATGGAAGTTGAGGACGGTGAATCGTTTACGTTGGTAGTACCGTTGATGGTCTGTGGTAGTACCGTTCGGAATGTATCAAATAGGTATTAAATTTATGTAAATTTACAAAAATTACGGTTATTTAAATAAACATAAGTTACGTAAATTTCATAAAAGGCATAAATTACCTACATAAAAAAACCGACCTAAGTTACCGTAAGTTACGCGTAATATAACCGTTTTTTATGTGACTTACAAATCCTGATGTACCTTACCTTAGGCCCTCGGCGTAGGTAATGAACCACTTCCCAGCTCGATATGTAATCTACTATTACATGTAATGTACATTGTATACTTGTCCTTACAGATACGGGAAAAAGTCCCGCGGCAATAGTATTCTGAAGGAAAAGGAGATCATTACCTAACTGGAGACGTTGATTCTTGCGAGAAATTAGACAATACCGGGAAGGGAAGAAGGTAGGAAGTTGTATTCCCTATAGGCGAAACTTGTATGTCGGCATACTGTAAGCAAGCAATGGCAAAGCAAGCAAGGTATGGAAGGAAAAAGCCACATTTAAAATAAAAGACCCTCCTCTGTTATTTGAACAATCCGTAAGAAATGTGACTGTTAAAATTAGCATAATGCAATCCGAGGAGAACAAAATGTGGTAAATTGATATTTCGGAGTCCAACTTTTCTTCACTGTAATAATTTGCAGTCTCTTGTACCTTCACATGTAATTTTTACAAGAACCTAGTAAATAATTTGAAACTCCTGTTGTGTGTTGAAATGTCAATATTCAAAACGTGACGCTTGGTAACTTAGTCATGTCAATGTGACATGCGATTTTTAAATTTCCCGGTTTTTATAATTTTGTGGCTGTGAAACGGGCCTCTTATTACATTAGCCAAAATTTATTTGGAGTGGCTTAACTGCATCTGTTGGGTGAACAGATAATTACCTAGTTGTATTAGCTGCCTAGTTTAGTGTATAAGTGAGGGCTGATCTACTCCCTATCTGTTGTTATTAAATTCTTAGTCGACATTCTGTTATCTAGTACTACCTAATACGGACTACCCAAAATGGGCGAAATAGAAATCATACAACCACAATAAGAAAAACATGTGCGATTTATAAAGGCTTTACGTAGGTATAGAGTTAAACGTGAAAAAGGAGAATGCATAACGTGGCAGTGTAGAGGCAAAAAACTCCATTGTGATTAAAACGAAAGCTAACCAAATTTGTGCAGACCAAACATAGTCTCTGCAGAAGCTAAAATATGGGTCTCCAAACCAAAGAAGCGTGTAAGTAGATAAGATGACGGCTTGACAGTGATCTGCCTGCATCAAAAATTTGTCAACAGGAGATGTCAAATAATTGAGGATCTACGTTGTAATGGACACTCAACCGAATTTACTGTACCGCACGTGGGTTAAGACGACATCAGAAGAAATTTCAAATTCAAGCTTCAATGAGGCGGTATAAAATTTCTAATTCGGGAAAAAAACTGTGTGGAATAGGAAGAATGTTCGTTCTGCAATAAGGGAAACATTTTATCTGCGACGGAACATGTACACATTTTTTTCAATCATACAGAATTCATGTGGACCTTAACAGCACCGATAGGAAAACACGCACGCTAGGTATCAATTGTATATGCTCTTTTGCAAAATAAAAAACCTACACAAACCCGTGTGTCCGGTATGTTTAACTAAAACTATACGTTAAAAAGTTAAAATTAACTGGGATATTCATATACAGGTAGGTACTTGAAAAATGTCAAGTAATCAACATAAAAAATGAAGAAGGAGGCGGAATATACATGGAATATAGGTATATTCAAAAATTACGATAACTTCTTAATTTAATTTCTTAATTTTGTATATAGGTACGTACTGCGAACACAATTGTAATAAATTATGTTTTTCCAAAGCTTTCCTATCAAAGCCACTTCTTTTGTGGGTCGCAAATCGCAATTGTCTTCCTTTCATTAACAGTGACATCAATAAAATGAAAATTAAAACTTAATTACTTGGGCGCAAGTGTCCATCATTCAAAACGCGTCTGCTATTATCCATGGGAATATTTATTACGAAAACAAAGAGCCTTCTAAATTAAGATTTTAAACTGAAATTCATTTCCTATTTAATCATGCTAAATAACGGAAAAACTCACCCTTATGCCCATTTCTCATTGCAAGTTTGCGATACTGTTCTTTTTAAATTTGTAAAAAATACTATACCTACTTATCTAAAGATACATTGCTATTGAACTTCGTTTGTTAAAATTATACAACGATTGATAGTATACAAGGTGGGTATAACTTTTCATCCTGCGTAGGTGGAAATCAAGTGCTAAATGATTAAATTTAACATGTAAGGTTGGTAAAGGCCACTGGAGGTAACCTATGTCAATATGGTTTCTGGTTTTCCCCTTGTAAGTGGTTCTGTTTCTTATACCACTTGTCTTTATAAAGCACAACATGAAAAAATGCCCTCCTGATGATGTGCTATAATCATTTTCTGGGCAAGTAATGAATCTTATTCAATGGTAACCCGTTACCCATAATTTTATAAAGGAAATGTAAACTAACCTGAATGATCCGTAATAGATCTTGTTGCGGACGGCGGCGTATGTGCCGGTGTGTGAGCATGATGGTCGTGCGAATGCGGTAAAGCACCATATAAAGCTGTAAAGTCCTCGGCGGACGATCCACTAGTATTGCACTTTCTTGGAGTTCCTTTATCACCGTTCGTACTACCGCTCATTAGATGTCCGTGATGGTCGTCTAATAAGCCCGAAACGCCTAGTAAATTGCCGACACCGACGAGGTTCGGTCTTAAATCGTCCATCATAGATTTTTGCGGGCAGGTATTAAAGTTTAATTGCCGGCTGAATATCGCCGGAAAAATGTTAAATTGTTGATGGGAAAGTTCGTCGGATGCGTGGGCTGACGAAGCGCCCAACGCCCCTACACCCTTGAAATCCAACGTGAGGCTGTTTAAAACAATTGTTAATTAAAAAACCATTTCCGATTAACGATGTAGGTACACAGAGCGTAGTTCTACGCGAACAATTTGTCTGTTAATTGACAACGTTAATTCTATTCATTAATTGGCAGTTGTTTTTAAGTTTATATATCCCGCGCGATGTTGTTAGATAAACGCACCGCACGTTACTCGAATACGCGCGACAAAAAATTTAATAAAATGTTCACCATTGGGTTCGAATTAACTGAATTGATGTTCAGTGAAAACTTCATATTAAATTAGAAAAAGTTTTGAATTCGTGAAAGCACAGCACAATTCAAGAAGCAACAGCAGCACCTGTTCTTTATTAAAACTCAATCACAAACAATTGGCTGAAGCTTGATATAGTTAATATCTGTGACTGATTCAATTAAATTTTGGAGCACAGTTAACTCTGATCCCAATATGACTAGCTTATGCCTAAGCCAAACGGCAAGTGACTATAACAACATTAAATCGTGATAGTGTTGTTCTGTTATCTTCTGGTTTGAACCAGACCTTTTACAGACATCCCAAACTGCATACGCGCTACTTCGATTAGAGAGAGTGCATTTGGGAAATTCCCGCACCTACGTTACTACTAACTTCGTACCGCGCTAAATGAGGGGTAGTTTTAGTACTCCAATGAGAATTCGCGCGTGCTATTTGCCGAAGTGGGATTGGCCGGCTTTGGAAAACAACCCCTTAGCAACTCCAATGAAAGCGAATTACTGTCAAAATGGTGGATTTACCCTCGAGCCGTAAGTTCGATTTTTATATTTTGACACAGAATCTTGTTCGTTTTTCATACCGAACTGTTGTGTTGTTTCACTGTAGGATGTTTACTGAAACGGAGCTAACCTGAAGTAGTCGCTTTTTTCTTGTTTAACAATAAATTTTCGATTTAAATAAACTGCTAGTCGATGCAATTGTATACGTACTCACTAAATAATCTTTAACCAACAACGTTTACGTTTGCTTATGTTATTGTGTTATACACTTGATATCAAATTGTTAAGTGGTAATTTTATCTCTCTTTAAAAATTTCGTTTTTGTCACTTCAATACAAGGTTAGAATAGTACACTTCTATCGCTTAGTATTAACTAATGTTATAATAGGCAAATCCTTATTTTATTTTGCGAGTAGGTATATGTAAGCTTTTTTCCCTATAATGACGTTTTATACATACATCAATCATCATTGCCGCCGCGTCGTAATGTTTTACATATACTGCTTAGCCTTGAATCACACCCTTTTTATAATGACAAAAAAACAGTAGGTAAATTTGTTGAGTAAAAATTGAATTCAGAATATTAAAACATTGAATATAAAAAGTAATACTTTTGATAAACCACACGAAAGAATTTGTAATAATAATTACAATAATATCTATTCGAATTCCAACATGTGTCTGTTTAACTAATGTTTTTATTGTATCTACGGGTTCGAGGTTTTCGATTGTCTTCTCCTTTCGCAAATTGGTCATAGGAACTACTTACTTTGTTGACTGTGGTTACTTGCTAGTTTCCGCCACCAAACGACAATGCTGTAGGTAAGTAGCACTGTAGCAGTCGTATCATTGTCTTGTACAACCACTACACTGCAACAGTTCGAAACGAAGGTGCGCGAAAAACATGTACAATGTTGTTAGATGCGGGGCAACGAATTGAGGCGACTTTTTTAAGAAAATCAAGAGAAAGAACCGAGAGAAAACATCTCCATCCAGCCACTACATCGAAGGCGAAGACGATCCTTCACGGCACTCCGGAGAAAATCTGGAGGATTGCGAGATTTCCCGAAGAACAGTTGCATTTGTTACCGGGTAGAATAACGTGGCAGTTTAAATAACATATATTACACTATATACACAGTCAAAAGACAAGAACAACGTATGTACAGAGTAAGTAGATAGAATAGTCGATGGCGCGTATCAAACTACTTAGAGTAGCGGTACGGAAATGGTGAGTTGCCCTAGGCCTCAATCTGCCTACTCCCAGGGTTGATGCAAGACGCTCGATCGATGGATGGATCTTAGTGCTGTCGGTTGGTGCTTATATAGGTAGCCGCCGCTAATCCCTAGTATAGTAGGCTCTGCCTACCGAGTAAGGGTAACAGTTCCACCCCGTTTCGAAGGATTCGGCGGGTGGTGGTTGGACGTGGCTGGCTGCGCCGTGTTAGCTTCCTGTGCTGGCTGGATTCGTTGCGGTATGTTGTAGTGGCGGGATGTTCTTTTGTGGCGTGGTGGTGTGGGCGAGATGGCGGGTCTTGGTGGCGGGTCAGGTGCGGCCTCTCTACGAGTGGGTGCTGGTCGTAGGTCATGGATATGAACCTTCACCTGTTCTCTGTCTCGCTGGATGAAATATGAGTTTGTGCCTGCGTTGGCGATTACTCTATATG